TCTCTTCTCTCTCAGACAAAAAGGTCTGAGGCCGCCGTGCTTCTGCCTGGACGAGAGCGCAACACAGCGGACCCCAGAGGCTGGTCGCGGTACTGCAAAAGGCAGCTCTAAAGGCAAAAGCCAGCACAGCCCCAGCAAGCAGTTCCTGGCGGGGAACAATAGGCTCCTCTCGCCGCTAAGGGCTCATCTGCAATGTGCCGCAAACTTCACACAAAGCCGGGCGGAAAGAGAAAAGGGAGAAGGAGAAGAGGGAAGGGAAAAAACGGCTACTACCGGTTGTTCCAGGGTTAGGGGCAGGGGAAATGTTCCTTTCTTCCCAGGCTTTCACAGAACGACTTCACTCCCCTTACTTACTTCGCGGGGGGGGGGGGGGGCAGAAAGAAAGGGTGGATTTGGAGAGCTGAGCCGAATATTTTAATTGGACTAAATCAAACGCAGCGAGTTCAAGGGGAGGGAAAACAACAACTGAAGGGGGCACTGGTGGATTTTGACTTTTGAAAAACTTTTTGAGTCCCCCAGCCCGAGGTGTTTCAAAGGGCAGGAAATCTCCCCAGATCCGACAGGGGGTTAACTGCCGTGTTGGAAGGAGAGCAGCAACCCCTAATTTAAAGATGTGAGACATTTAAAACTTCCCAAAGAAGAACACGGAGTACTTTCCCAAGCGAGGGATGATCTGGATAGGTATGCCAGCAGGAAACTGAACTCTGGCTTGCTCCATAAAATACACATTTTTTTTTCTTTCTCTTGCAGATATTGTGGCCTGTAATTAAAGAACTTTAGGACTGCTGTACTGAATCTAGGCCACATATACGTTTCTGTATGTCAATGAATGGAACATAGGGCATAATGCTGAAGGAGGAGGAAGGTCTTGTCCCTCGCCCTAAACAGGCACTTGCCAAAAGGGGCACTGCAGGCCATCTTCCCCTTTGCATATGATCTGTACGGTATTTGTAAATACTTGTAAAATGCATATATTCAACACATGGGAGCCCAGGAGAATACCTGCACTCCGGCCGTGCTGGAAACCCGCTCCGCTTGGAGCCAACAGGAACAGGAGCCGGAAAGGGTGTCCGCAGCAGATGGTGCCTCCTCTCTAAAATTTGCTCCTCATGTAAAGCAAGTGGTGATCCAGGTGGGCACCTGTCCTTTCCTTACGAGTAAACAGAGCGGCAGGTGAGCACTTGTTCCAGTTTAAGGGACTCCAGAGAAACATTTGTCCCTCACAACCAATGTGCTGAAATCCAAGGCTGTAGCAGGGCCTTCAGTTTTCTTTAAGCAGAACTCCTCATTAAAGTCAGTAAGGAGCTGTGTTTTAAAATCAATGGCACATTACGGCCCCAAGTGAGCAGTTAGAGGAAAACTATAATTCCTTTCTACTGCATGTACGAACTTAGTTCAGGAAATAAAACATTTTTTCAAATAAGATTTTTCTCCTTTTGACTTGAATGCTGTTTCAGCTTGACTATAGCCATAGAGACAGGGAGATATAGTAAGATGCTTGGTAAGATTTGCCCTCAGGTCACACTCATCGTGGGGGGAGGAGGCAAAGAAATCCCTCAGTTTCAAATTAATACTCAGGCAGTATTGAAAGTCGCCCTCTCTGTGTGGCTGGAGTGGTGGTGTGTGCGTTTCAGCGTAAGAAACGCAGAGTGTCTGTTCACTATTGCATTAAGAGCCCCTTTCTTAAATTAGACCAGCAATAGATTCTGATCTGCAGCTCCTGGCTCTGGCACTCGGAGTTTCTGCTATTTCAGCAGTAGCGTGTATAAGACTCCCAAAGCCAGGATAATATGAATGAGAGAGGTTTAAAACAAATAAGCGACTGAGGGCTTAACATCTCTCGTCCACACATACACAGCGAAACCTGCCTTGGCAAGAGGGCGGTGGTTTTAATCGTGCCTTAAAATTACTTAAA